TATTGCCTTCCTACATGACTAAAGACAGCACTGCTCTTAGGAATTTTGAGAAAGTGAGTTAATAATGTCCTTTCCATTTAAGCCGGTTAGAGAGTTTTCTGTACTTGTATCTTAACTAATTGAACTTTTCCCTCCTGAGTGTGTCTATTAATTCATCTATCTATCTATCTATTAAAAATCAGATAACAGAGCAAAGTATGAAAGACAAATTAACAATTATCTAAGCCTGTCACCAGGTTACTATTTTGTTGAATATATTATGTAAAGATACAATACAATGAGATATTTTCTATTTTCTAATGTATTCATATAACTCTATCAATGTCATATACTGCACTACTCATATAATCTATTTTTATGCATGATAATATGAATATACACTATTATACAAATATAATTTTATAATTCAATCATTATGTAGTAATGACATTCTAATTAATATGAATCTATCTAGTATCTACATATCTAATACTTAAATCTAATATCTAACACATAAATATCAAATATGACATTCTAATTATCTAATAGTGACATTCAATGTACTCTTGGGAATATTCTAATTATACTCTGTGATATGGTATAATTTAGTGTTTTTCATCTGATATTGTCATATAACAGTGTAATAGACAATGACTTCATAGCAGAGGGTGTGTTTATTGTTGACAAAGAGTGGTCAGAGATATTTTTCAAATTATGTGACTTTTAAGCTAGAACATGAATTGATAGAAAGGAGCCTGACATAAGAAAATCTGGGGGAAGCGTCTTCCAGGAAGAGGAAATAGCTACTACAAGTGTCTTAAGGCAAGAAATAGGTTGGTATATTCAGAAACTAAAGGGACACTGATATGACTGAATTTCCTGCCTAGAAGAGGCAAGTTGAAGCAAAGGAAGAAGTTATCGGACATGAAGTCAGAGTTGCCTAAGCCATGGAAAGAAACTTGAATTTTTTCTTACTTCAGTGGACAGAGCTTTAAGCAACAGAGGTGATAGAATTGCTTTGCATTTTTGAAGTATCACTTTGGCTTCACTGTGGAGACTTCATAACCACTTTACATTACTTCTGTCCAATTCACATCAGGTTTATTTCTAATAATTAAATTTAGTGTTACTGTTGTTACTGTGTTGCTGCCGCTGTTTCTTGTATAAATGTGACTTTTTTCTCATTGTAGTTACTAAGTAGTTATTGTTTACATGAAATTATAGTTATTAAAATAATTTTTCATTTTACTCTGTTCTTTTATTGATTCTGAGACATCTTCAGGTGGTATTTTTAGACTTCTGCAGGTATAATTTTGCATTATCTGCAAATAGTAATTATTTTTCCTTCTACTTTCTGACATCTGTGGTTATTATTCTGTCCCTTGATTGAATGCATTGTCTGACACTTCTACAGGAACGTGAAGTACTAGCTCTCACAAACTTCCTTGCTTTGTTCCCTACTTAAAAGCAATACTCTTTGTCACAGACTGCTAGTTATTCCACAAACCCTCCTTCAGTACTAGAACACTTGATGTTTAGCTGGGTGCATAAATGACCAGACTACATTTCCCAGCTTCTTTTGCAACTCCACTTGGCCACGTGACTGAGTTCTAATGAGTTGTGAGTTGAGATGTGCCATTTCCAAATTTTGCCTTTTAAAGGAATAGGTGTCTGTTCCCATTTTTGTTTATATCATCTGGTAAATTTCAGTCAAAAATTTTTACTTTCAACTTTTCTGAGTCACATTGTTTTGGAAGTTTTGTGTTTGTTTGTATAAATATAATGCTATTGGTTATTATCATTAATTTGTCCATGAGTCTTCTCATTAAATGGGGAGCTGATTGGACTTACATATTTGTTCTCGTTCGTCATCACATTATGTTTTTTTTCTCTGATTTTATTTAGCCTGTTTTGTTTCATTTCCTATCTGAGGAATACCAAAGATATCAACTAATTTTTATTCTGCTAAGTTTTTGTTTCATATTTTTAAAATGCACATTCAATTTAAAATTTTCAAATGTTACTTTTAGAGCCACAAGAGTTTCTTTAAATTCTTCTCTATGAAATATTAACAGCCACATCTGATGCTTGAAATCTTCCTTGTATTTTCTCCGGGATTTATAAAACTCCCACAACCACCTTGTGAGACAGGAACACGTTTTATCTCCAATTTTCAGGGCACAAAGCTGAAGTTGAGAAAAGTCAAACATTGAGCCAGGGTCACATAAATATTTCTTGTTAAAGCTACATTCAAAATAAGTTTTGGCTGATTCTGAAGGCCAAAGTTACAATAAGCTAAAGTGAATAAATGATTACTTCTTCCCAAATTCAGTCCCACAGTGAGTAAGCCTAATTCCAAAACAGTGATCCTAACTTCGGATGTTTTCATATTTTTATGAATACATCTACATATTTATAAAATCTCTTCATTTCCTGTGTTGTTTTAATGTTTCCCAAGACTATACTTTAATTTACTGACCAAATTTTTTATAGGGTTGATTATGTTCCTTATTTTTTCCTATTGATTTTAGAGTTATTTTTTAGTTTCTCCAATTGTTAAATATCTGTGGTCATTTTTGTTCTTCAGCCACTACTGCAGAACGTGGCAAAAAATACTACTTAGCTAGCTGTTTTTGCTTGCTGTATTCCTGTTCTCTTCCCTTCCACGTTACAGAGCGTTTTACATATTGGTCCTATCTTGTTATTATTTTTCTTCTCATTTATTTTGAATTGGGGCCATGGATTATCCCCACTGCCAAAAATAGATGAATACATTTTCGTTGATATCTCTGTTCTAGGAAAATTTTTGACTTCACCCTCTCTCCACTTTGAACAGTGGTTCTCAAACATGGATGTGAAAAAGTGCAGAGCATCAATCACCCCTCCAGACCTACTAAAGAAATCTTCCGGCCGGGCGCGGTGGCTCAAGCCTGTAATCCCAGCACTTTGGGAGGCCGAGGCGGGTGGATCACGAGGTCAGGAGATCGAGACCATCCTGGCTAACATGGTGAAACCCTGTCTCTACTAAAAATACAAAAAACTAGCCGGGCGTGGTGGCGGGCGCCTGTAGTCCCAGCTACTCGGAGGCTGAGGCGGGAGAATGGCGTGAACCCGGGAGGTGGAGCTTGCAGTGAGCGGAGATCAGGCCACTGACCTCCAGCCTGGGTGACAGAGTGAGACTCCGTCTCAAAAAAAAAAAAAAAAAAAAAAAAAAAAAAGAAATCTTCCAGTTGCAGTTTCAGAATCTGTCTTTTTTAGCCCAACTTCCAGAACTGGTCTGCATATTTTTTTTGAACCAATGCCTTGAAACATGCACTGAACAATTTGCACATTTATTATTTCTATTCTTTGTTCAGACATTTAGCTCCTTTATGGGAACAGGGGGCTTGGGGGACAGTGAGGAGATATCTGGGGCTGTGAGTAGTTGCAGTCAGGAAGTTTTTTTCTTTAGTTGTTGGTCTGTTTCTTAGTTGCTTAGTTTGATACTCTCATCTGTTGATGAAGAACAGCCTTTTTGTGTTTCAGTTTACTCCCTCTCAAAGTGAGAAATTCATTTTCATAAAAAGTCCAAGGTTGTTGAGGTTTTTGTTCTGTTTGAATCTATGTATTTTTCTGTGCAGAAGGCTGTGGCTCTGATTCTCAAGAGATTGCTTCTACTTCTCTCTGACATTCTGTCTGGTTACAAGGAGGGTAAACTTCAGGTTGGCAGGTAGTTAGGTAGGCAATCACATAGGTTGTGTGGCTTTGCATCTCGTCCAGCATTTAGTTTCTCAGGAATGCTCATCTGTAGTGGAGAAACAAGCTCCACACAGTGCAGCCTACACTTCCTCCAGATCTGCTGAAGTCTAATTTCCTTGCTTCTTCAAATTGGAAGATCTGGACCAAGGTAATGATAGGGGTTACATAAAGATTTTTGAGTCTTCTTTAAATCTGGGCCAAATTATACTGGATCTGAATCATACCTCAAGAATTATATTGAGTAAGAGTCAGTTTTGTTTCAAGTTTCAGCATTGATGAATTATTTCTGTTCATTTTGGTTAGTCACAGGGTGAGAGGTTTTATAAGCCCACACTATTTCCGCTTGCTTTCCCATAGCTTATTCAGTATATTGAAAAATTTTCAGGAAACAACAGCAAAACCCTACATAATATTCCTTGTTGAATATCAAATTTCTGTGTTTGACTTTCCATTGGAATAATTCAGGAATCTCTACATAAGACAATGCTTGAGGGTAAAAGATGAGTGAATGAGGAGATCTTTGTGAAATTGAGATGACTGACATCAGCTCTGAAGCCATACAGTCATTAATAGTAAGTTTCTGCTCTGCCATTTACAGGTGCTGTAATCTGAATTGATCTTTCAACTTGTTCAAAATTCAGTTTTCTTTTAACTTTGTAAAATAAAAATAACCCTTGTTACTACATGTTGTGACATTTTTAATGCAGGTTAAATGTGATAATATAAATCTGAAGTATTGAACACTGTACCTGGCATGGAATGAGCTCATTATAATATCAGTCTCCTTATTCTTTCCCTTGTTTAACCATCAGTGGTGAGAAACAGCTGTTGATTTGCCAAAATATATGCATAATTTTATAAATGAAAACATCCGAAATCTCTTTGGGTGGCCTATTAAGGAATGAGCTACAGGGTTTTTCACCTTTATTACTACTGACATTTTGAGACAGATAGTTCTTTGGGTTTTTTGAGGGAGTGCCATCTTGCTGAATTTAGAACGGTTAGCAGCATTCCTAGTTTCTATTCAATAGATGCCGATAGCACCAAGAGCCACCCCAGTTGTGACAACCAAAAATATTTCCAGACTGCAAAATGTCTTCTTGGGTTGGGGTGCAAAATCACCCCCAATTTGAGCACTACTGAGCTAGAGAAATGAAAAGGACATTGTATTGGAAGAGGGTAGGGACTTAAACTTTGAAATGTTATTCATAGCCTGTAAGAGGCCCACCTTAGCTGTTTCTCCCATTGGGTGAACTAGGCTTTTTGTGCCTAGGTGTCAGTGAATGGATGTCAGAGCAGAAGGTAGGAGACAGGAGAAGAGTTTTCTCTATTCAGAAGGAATGGAAAAGATGCAGGGCAGTGTCAGAAGGTTTCAGATCTCTCGTGAACAAAGGCAAAACTTCTGTGTTCAAGACCGGAAACACATATCTCAGCCAAGGGAAGAGGCTAATTGAGAGGAGTGATCGTGGCTCTTCTTCATTTTCTTAGTAAGCTCCTGAAGGTGGCAAGACTGCAGAAAAGCAATGCATTTAATACCTCAGGGACTTGGTGGTGCCTGAAATTGAACATGGAGGCACTGGGATGATTTCACTGTGCCTCAGAAGTTATTAAACTGGGTCAGGCAAGTCTGCACTCTGGCTTCCCACGTGCAGGTGCAAGCAGTGGCCCCAGTGGGGATCCGAGGGCAGTTCCCTGGCTGGTGGGGTAATGTTCCAGGCAGGAATACAGCTGCCTCTGCTGCACAAAAAAATCTGCCTGAAAAGTGGGAGACAGCAGGTTGCAATAAGCCCCACTCAGCTCCCACACGCTTGGCAAGTCAGTTTTCATACCCACAGTGTTCAGCTAACTGGGTTTCAAGTGGCCTGTGCTCAGCATTTAAAACTGTCCCAGGCCGTAAGCTTCCCCTGTGGACACAGAAACCATATCTTTCAGGCCGCATCCTTTCCAGTCCACCTGTAAAGCAGGGCCATGAAGCTCATGTGCCTGTTGCCACAGCACACTTCTCACTTGCCCCTCGGTTCTGCCCAATCAGCTTTGTCCTTACTAAGGATTATATCACAAATCCCAATTGGGCACTTTTCTCAACCTGTGACTGCAGCCTGAGTTAGACTTCTGCAATGTTCCCTGTGAGGTGGGATCAGGAATGGCTTCCCTCCATTCCTGCTGGAATCTGGGAGTGCACACAAAGCATGTCCTGATGTTACTCCTTCTTATATGTTCCTTACTTTTCTCTGAATCACGTCTAGAGCTGAGTAGGTTTGAAGTCTTCCCTCATGACTTGTATTGCCTGGCTCCCCTGTGGGAGTATATGTCATGACAGCAATCTGTCCCTCTCTCATGCTCTGGGGACTAACGGTTTTCTGTCTGTTTTATGATGTAGTCCGTTGCCTGCCACTTCATTCAAAGGGTCTGTGGTTTCTTTCAGTTCTTATGTTAAGTTCTTATGTTGTTTCTTAGGAATAAATTTTACAGCATGAATCTCTACACGCAATTTTGTCTTACTAAGCGGGATAAGTATGCTTATAATGCTTCCAATCTGTCATCTTGGAAAAAAAAGAAGAAAATCTATAAATATTTTGACTATAATGTGCTATGGAGGAGACCTTTTCCCATTGTATCTGTTTAGGAATTGATGGGCCTCCTGTATCTCAATGTCCAAGTGTCTTGCTCAACTTAGGAAGTGTCATCTATTATTTCAATAAATAGGTCTTTGAAAACATGTTTTCTCTCTTTGCCTTCTGGGCTCTCAGTGATTTTTATATTTGGTCACTTTATGTTGTTAGATGTATTCCAAAGGTTTCTTTTATTATTTCCTTTTTTTTCTTTATTTTTGTCTGACAGTGTTATTTCAAAAAAAAAAAAAAAAAACTGTCTTCAAGCAAAATGTGATCTTAAAATAAGTCAGTTATGATTGAGTATATTGTTGAAGTTTTCATTTGTATTTTCAGTTTATTCACTGCATTATTTGGCTCCAGAATTTTTGTTTGTTTCTTTTTTATGATATCTATCTCTTTGGTAAAGACAGGGTGGCAGTGGCCAGGCTGCTGCCCTGCCACTGGGTGTTGGATGCCACTTTCAGTGATGGCAGTCTAGGCCAGTGGGTGAAAAACACATGTGCCACATGTGCCTTAGCCCCAGTGGTGCTCACACCTCAGCCTCAGGTGTGGTAGCCCATGAATGCTCACGTCTAAGCTCAGGTTAGCAGCCAGCTCTTCTTTTGCATCTCATCCTCCGTGTTGCTTGACTCCGAGACAGTGTGCAGTCTGTTGGGGGTGAGGCTCTAAAGTGCTATCTTGCCCAGCCCCAATGTTCATGTCTTTCCCTCGATTGCAGTAGCCTGTGGTCACTGGTGTCTGAATCTCCAGGGAAACATCAGACACTTAGTTTGCACCTAGGCGTCAATGCCATTGGGCTCCAGGACAGTATGTAGTTCATCAGGGGTGAGGCTCTGCAGTGGTGCCTCACTTGTGCCTCAGTCCTAAAAGCAGCAGCCCACGCCTTGACCCCACCTCTGCACCAGATGCCGTAGTCTATAGTCACTGGTGCCTATGTCCCTGGGTCAGCAGTTTGTGCTTCTCTTGCACCTCAGCCCTGGACTACTGGGCTCCAGGGCAGTGCTCAGTCTGTTGAGGGCAGGGCTCTAAAATGGTACTTTGTTGTAGTTGCTTAAGTCTCAAGAAGGGTGAGGGACCCAGCTTGAGCACTCACCCTGAGGCAGTGCCATCATACAATCTCCTGGCAGCTTTCTATGTTAGTTTCAGGGCCCATGACGGTTGAGGGGATATCCTGTGGTTGGGATTGTAGGAGTCTACGGTGAGAATATGGACCACTGAGGCTCTCTCACCTTTCCTTTCCCTGTATTTTGGAGTCTCTCTCAGCTCACAGATGATCCTGGATGAGCAGGCTGCCTTGTTTCCCTCTCCATCTCTGCTCTGAGTATTGCCTATCACTTTTTTAATGAATTCCAGTGATTTCCTTTGAATTATATATTCAAAGTGTGATTATTGACTCACTGTTTGGTTCTTTTTAATGGAGAAAGTGAGTACAAAATGCCTCCAGGCTGCCACATTCATGATTTCCAAGAAATAATTTTTAAAGGTTTTTAAATACTTTATGTAATTATAATGATTATGGGCATAAGAAGAAGAATTATGGAGAAGAATGGAGCGAAATAAAAGCTTCATTCCCCCTGCTATGATATTTGATTATATCTTGAGGTCAAATTGATCTTTGCTGCCTTGGCTGCCTGCTCTGGCTACAGCTAATCCTGGGCAGGCTTTGCAGCTCCTACCACTTCCAGGCCTACAGCTGCAATCCCAAGCTTGCTCACCAAAACAAGTGTTTATTCATTGTATCTTCAGTAGATTTTATCTTATAAATATGAATTGTTTATATGCATTTCTAATATATCAAATGCTTTACTAGCTTTTTAATATCTTTATATCCATTTTCCCTGGATCATTAATTACTGTTCTTAACTCAGTTGTTCTTAACTGGAAGAGATTTTGCCACCTAGGGGATACTTGGCAATATCTAGAGATATCATCGGTTGTCATAATTGCTGGCAGCAGGGAATGCTACTGGCATTTAATAAGCAGAGAGAGAGATGCTTCTAAGCATCTTATTGGACAAAGGACGACCTCACACAAGAAAGAATTATACTGCCTAAAATGTGATGGTGCTGACAGTGAGAAACCCTGAGTTTAACATAATGTGCTCAGAACTCTAAAAATGATTCACTTTCTCAAATATTTGCTGCATTTTTTTCTTCTGGTCAGAATGTGCACATTGGAAATTCTTCCTGAAGCATTTGTGTGAGCAGAACCTATTCTATAGCTGTTAAACGATTGGCAGGGAGGTTGATAGATGGAGGTGAAGTCAGCCAAAACTTAACTGATGTTTAACAGCCAGGAAATACCCAACCTGGAAAGTATTCATTCATAGCATCAGAAACCACTAAAGAAAAATGATATTTTACCTCTGAGAAAGTGAACAGCAAAAGTATAGTCTTTCTAATTAGTTTTTAGCTTGCAATCTAAATAAATGATAAGTACAGAATAACAATCAGGTCACAAACTATCATTTAATTTTAAGAACTATTTTCATAAGACTATTGACATAAAAGTGACTTAAGAAAGTGAAAGTTACATTTAGCACAGGATTTTGCATTTTTCAAAAGTATATGATATTGGAAAAACATATAACTACATATTTTTTGAATTTGTTCTATGTAGCAAACTTGGCCCAGATCTCTTTAAGAACATTTCATAAATTTGGCATCATTACTAACTTCCCCATGTTAAGAAGATTTTCATAGAAGCAATATTTTCTTGTGTCTCTAAATGGGAGAGAGTGCTTCTCCCCACTAAATTACCATATTAAAGCGGACTGTTCAGCATTTATTTTCTTCAACCATTCTGTCTAAAATTCAGCCTGATGTGATAGCAGGAGTCCTCCTGCGAAGTTGGTCAATGGGTAGTTATGCTTTTGTGTGTTTTTCACATCAAAAAACCCCACAAGAACAAAAACAAAATAAACACAAAAGTGCTCAGTAAATATTTAATAAATAAATTGTTTTATTCAAGGGGATTGAGAATGGACCTTGTTCCACTGCTTATTTTTTTCTGTATTTTCAACATCTGCCTTTCTACTGGCTAATTAACCAGTAGAAAATTTAATGCTGTGCAGCTATTAAAATTATATTACAAATTATAATTATTAAGATAAACTTAACAGTTACACTATTATAACTTAAGTTATAAACTTAACAGTTATACTATTAACCATGGTTTATAAATATGTTTAATATTAAATAAAAATTTAAGAAAGAGGAGGTATCAGGAACCACTTTAAAGGTGAACTGTAAAAAATAATGTGATAATAACTTCACTCTGCTTTTCCTTCTCACTTCTTTTCTTGTCTCTCCTTTTCTTTCCACTTAAGCCTCACAAGAGTGAAGCTTCTTGTCTTTCTCTTCTTACTTACCAATCACTCTTCCTTCAACCTGGTGCCCTATAGACACCTATCTCTACAACTCAACTAAAGCTGTGCTTTGCAAGACCATCAAAGACATTTTAATTATCAAATCCAAAGGTTCCTTTTGGATCTTTCAGGTCTCCAAACAAATTGCATCTTCTTGAAGAGGAATTTCCTGACCACCTGAGTTAAATCTCATGACATTCTCAAATATATTACCATATTTTACATTCTTGATAGCCCCTAGTACTTGATGAAAAAACTGCCTATCAGTTATCATACATATTACCCGGGTGATGGAATAATCTGTACAGCAAACCCCCATGACACAGAGTTTACCTGTGTAACAAACCTGCACATGTACCCCCGAACCTAAAAGTCAATAAAGAAATCAACTGTAGATATTTGCTTATGTGTTTATTTTCTTTCTGCTCCCACTAGAACGAAAGATGATTGAGGGAAGGGACTCAGCCTTGTCCACCAGATCCTAAATGATACTTAGTAGACACATATTAAGCATTCAAGTAATATCTGTTTACTGACTGGGACTGATCAATTTACCTCTTACATGACCTCTCTGGAACATTTGTCAGTGACAACAGTTTGCTTCTAGATGCCCCCTTCATGGCTTTTGAAATAGTACCCTTCCTTTTCAGTCTCTTTTGCTAACTTTCCAATATGATGGGATCTGTTTGAGAAAAGGGACTGCTATTAGCATATTTGCTGGCACGTGAAGGACTCTCAAAACACTCATAAAACATCCTTCTATTTGGGCTTCAGTATGAAAGATCTTAACTGACCTGTGTGTTTAAAATGACGTGTATTGAAAGAAGTATTATTTTTGGGCCACGAAGATGCGTAAATATTTCTAGTGTGATAATTAGGTATTGAGAAACTTGGAAGTGTATGAACAGATAAATTGCTTAGTACTATGAACTGTAGTGTTTTGGTACTTGGTCGGTACCATTACTTGATTGAATGCTGTGCAGCTGTTAAAATTATATTACAAATTATAATTATTAAGATAAACTTAAATTATTTGTTATAAGTTAACAAGGCATGACACAATATTGTGCATAGAATATAAGTACAACTTTATAAAACGTATGCAACAATGAAAACAAGCAAGGAATGAAACTTGCTAAGTTTTTGTTTCAATGATTTTGTTTCATTGTTTCAATGAAACAATGAAAACTATAACAGAGACTGTAATAGTAGCTGAGTCATTTTATGGAATTTCAGATGTTTGTTCTTTTCCAAATTCTCTGTAGCCTTTTAATTTTCGTATGTTTTAAAAACAATTCAAAGCTGAATACACTTTAAGCATCCTGTAAAACTTGGAATGAACTTGTGTTGAAATGTCAGAAGAGGTTAGTGGTAGGTGTTGTCATGTTTGTTCAAGAAAGAGAGGTTAGTGATGGTGGTGGCATCTTTGTTCAAGAAAGAAATATGTCCCCTATTATTCATGGCCTTTGTGATTTCCTTTGTGTTTAATGTATTCCACAAGTAGATTCTCCTCTCAAGGTATCGCACCCTGGAAATACAAATAAAGACTTAAATTACTCCCATGAAAGTGACTTCTTCTAGCTTACACAATGAATCACTGGCAGACCTGGGAATGAAACCCCTCAATTTACACTCTTAGACTTCATAAACATCCCTAGAACACTTCATCTCTCCTACATTGTTAGCTATATAATGAAGAGTTCTACATTTATTAGACTATAAGTCTTATGTTTTCCCTTTGATTGCTATCGCTCTAGGTGGCAACAAAAGTCATTCTAACTTCATTTATAAGAGCCAGGTTTGTTTGACACACACATTGTGGAGTTTACTAAATTATTGCTTCTTCTCTCTCATTTATAATTTTGAGAATAATCTATGTTCTTGAAATTTATTGCTTCTGCATTTGCAGAGGCATAGAGAAATGTGGCAATTTATTCATAAAAAGCTTTATCATGGAAATGAATGACAGTAAGTGTCTGGTTCACAAGATGATTAGAGTAACAGAAAACACACAAATTCCAGCTTTATCCATACAACAGTTTTCAAGGCTATGTAGTTAGAAAAATATGATTGGAGGGTTGATCTGAGTTTAATGTATGAATTCACAGCCTCTGCAGGCTGTCCCTTACTCTACAGGAGTGAGGCCATCAACCTGCAATGTAGAAGCTACTAGGCCAGA